ATAATGAGTATGTCTGTTTTTCAGGGTATTTTTTTAATTCTAAGTCTTTATTATCTAATTTGATCTTTTTTCTTTTTCCAATTAAAATAAATTTTTTATACATTCAGTCACTTTATCATTACAACATGCAAGATGAATTTTCCCAGCATGAATACACCATATATTATCTTTGACTTAACTAATATTCTAAATTCCTTATCTTAAATTTCTGTGAATTCTTTTGTGCTGTCTATTGTTTGCTGAGGAGTTGTGTTCCTTGGAGGAGAGATATTCCCTTATTTTTTCATATTTCTTATGTCCCTGTACTGGTTTTTAGCCATATAATGAAATACTCCGTTCTTCTATTTTTTGGAGTAGATTCTATAGTGTTGGGAGTTGGAGAGAAGTAAAGACTTGGTTCCCAGGTGTGTTCCTTGTAGAGAGCCATGTCTTTCAGATTAGAGTAGGGTTTTTGAAGCTGACTTCAGGTGATTGGCTCCTCTCCCACCCTCTGAGGTCCACATGTGCCTGAGGCTGATATGGAGAGAGAATTTAAGGAATAAGCATAAACTGTGTGCCATGTACTGTGTGGCTTGTGGACTGGGGCACTGCAGTTTCTAAAGGCACACCTGGAGGATTTTCCTCAACTAGCAGGAATATTAGAGCTGCCATCTGTATTACAACCCTGTCCCTCATTTACCAATCACTCCTGCATTGTAGGTGGAACTCAAGAGGCAAATGGCAGGGCACGTGGGTGGGAGACTGCAGATTCTTCAGGCATATCTGTGGGATACAGAGGCATCAACTAGAAAATCAGAGCTCCCACCCAGTTTTCAGGTTTCTCACTCTCTGCTTTTGTCAAATTTTTGAGAGGAGACTGGTTATGAATCAAAGAAGAGAGAACTTGATCCAATACCAGGTCACAGTGCACAAGCACTGAAAATACCAATATATTTTAGCAAATTAAAGAGCACTTTTGGCTTTTATAAAACCTACATAGTTTAAGTGAAGTAATAGTTGACAATGTAAAGTTAAAAGGTAACAGAATTAATGAAACTCTGTCATTTTTAAAGAGAAACATTTAACATATAGAGACACAAATAATTCAAGTTAGACTAAGAACTCATTACAAAAAATATTTTAAGAAATATATCTTTTAAAAGTTAGTACTTCTACTTTACTGGAGGGGAATTTTTACCTCCGTTGTAATGATCACCCATCCATGTCTTATTTGTTATTTTAATTTATGATGTTCATGTAACCATTGTACATCTTCAGGTGGTACAGCTTTTTGTTTTGTGTATTTTTTCTTTTTTTGAGAGATTTTTGCTATAGGGCACATTCACTTGCTGGAGAGACAGAGAGAAAGAAAGCAAGAAATCACCGCCACCCCCTCCCCATTGGGTGGATGGCATTGCCACAATCCCTTCTCCTCCTTTATCCTCTTGGGATTTTGGGTATATACACACACACACACACTCACACACACACACACTCACACACACACACACTCACACACACACACACTCACACACACACACACTCACACACACACACACGTGCCTGGCATGAGTTACAAGCCACCAGTTCTGCGACTCCTACCATGATCAACCATGTGAGAAGCAAGCACCTTAACCACTACGCCACCACTGGTCCCAAGAAAGCAAGCTGGCAGGTCTGGGATTTGAACCACAGTATGTTTATTAAAGCATATATACAGAGTGTAATAATTAAGTCAGGTTTGTAAACATATTCACCATTTTCAACATTCAGCATTAGATTATGTTGTGCATATTCAAGATTTGTTCTACTATTTTCCTGTTTTTTTTTTTTTTTTCTTTTTGAAACTATTGAATTGTTAGCAGCATTTTTTATTGTGGTACACTCTTCCACATCCTATATCACTTGTTTACATGCATTCTTGTATCTATTAACCATTTTCTCCCAAATCTGTCTAACCTCATGCAGCTTTTAATATCTACCATTACTCAGTCTACTCCTATGCTATTGGATCCTTTAGTTTCTGCTACTGAGTAGACATTAGTTATTAAATGGAGACATGGCATTTTTCTTTCATAGCATCACTTATTTCACTTAGCAGAATATCCTTTAGGTTCATCCATTTTGTCTTAAGTGATAGAAATTAACTGGTCTTTATGGCCGAATAATATTCCATTATGCATAGATGCCACATCTTCTTTAAGTATTAAATAACTTTATATATGAAAACAGAATTGTTAAGTAAAGATAATCTTCAGGTCATTAACTGTGTAATAGTCATGATTTTTTTCTTTTTTTTCAGAGAGGTTTTTGCTATAGGGCACATGTACTCGCTGTAGAGACAGACAGAAAGCAAGAAATCACCCCCCAGGGGCGATAACCATGCCACAATCCCTTCTCCTCTATTCTCTCAGGATTTTAGGCATGCACACGCATGCATCTGGCATGAGTTTTAAGCCACTGGGTCCAGGACTTCAAACACTCCCACTATGTGGGAGTCCAGCAATGTAACCATTATGCCATCCACTGGTCCCCCCTTTTATTTTTTTTTTTTTAGGAGAGATTTTTGCTATAGGGCATGTGCACTCACTGGAGAGACAGAGAGAGGCAGAAAGAAAATAATCCCCCCCCGGGGGGATGACCATGCTGCAATTCATTCTCCATTCTCTTCTCAGGTTCTTGGGCACACGTAAACATGCACCTGACATAAGTTTTAAGCTGCCAGGTCCAGAATTTGAACTGTGGTTGACTATGTAGGAGTCCAGTGACATAACCATTATAGGATCTGCTGATCCCTACAAATTATGTTTTAGTTAAAGAGGTTTACCTACTTATAGACTACATAAGTTAATGAGTTAACATGCAACTTTTGCAATTAACATGTTTTTAAGTTTAAGGTAGTAAAGTTATCATTCAGAACAGAAATTATTCAAATATGTTCTTTTGACAAAACCTGTATGCGTATATTCAATTTGTTGAGGTGTTTGAATGTGCCTCAGTAAAATCAGCTACCCATCTCTCATGCTGAAACTGCCCTTCAGCCAAAGACAGGAAAATGGGATGCAACATAATATTGTCAGCATTTGTTGATTCATCCTCAGTTAGTGTTTTTGTACCGTCATGGCTATTTTAACCGTCAAGGAAAAGAGGAGGCCAGCTCTGTGGCCTAGTGGTTAAGAGTACCAGATCCTACATGGCCAACTGCAGTTCAGATCCTGGCCCCACGGCTTGAATAATATGCCAGGTAAATGTGTGTATGCATTCCCCAAATCCCCACACAATGGAGAAATGGAGGCAAAAGGATTGAGGCATAGCCACTTCCCATTGGCGGTGACTTTTCCCTCTCTCTCTTTCTCTTTCTTTCTGTTTCTCGGGTTAACATACATGCCCTCTGGCAATTAGAGAAAGGGAGAGTGAGAGAGGAAAAAAGATATGTAAAGCTTTTTTATCTTAGTGCAAAATCCCTCAATAGGTTCAGTATTCACAACCCTCATATTTTCATTCTTTGTGCAATTTTCTCCCTTTCTCATCACTTAAAATTTATTCCACCACACAAAGACTTGGCCAAAAGCCCTGAGTGTCCAAGCAGAGCCTGCTTCCTACTGAGTTGCTGGAATGATGATAGTAAAATCAAAGAATGAGTAAAGCTCTCCTGCAGCTCTGAAAAGAGGTATGTGACAAAAAGATCCCAGGATCCTCATTTTTCTGGGCTCTAGCAGAGCTTTAATATTTGTGGAGAGTCAACCATCTCTCAGCCATTACCAGTATCTCATGAAACTACTGAAACTCCTAAGTGAAGGATTGTTCGAACACAATGACTATGAAATAGTAAGAATGAGAAGTCAGCAGGCATTTCACAAGAGGAAAGTCGTCTGCATGATTTAACTGTATCTCTTATTGCTAAAAACATAGTTATGCTGAGAAAGAGGCAATTGAGAAGTCTCTGGCACTGACTCCGTTATCATTTCACATTTCATTCAAATCCCACCTTTCTTTTGTGAAATGAGTCAGTTTACTGCTTTAGATTTCAAGTGTGAATGTGTATCAAATTACGTCTCCTCCTATACTCACACCAGAGCAATTTTGTGACTCTGCCCTTATAGCTCTCAGAGTTATTGATAAGTTCCTATTGGACTCATGGACATACATATTACTGAATTGACTATATATTGATTTCACTCCAATAAACAATTAATCCACACTGTGGCTTCTTGCTTAGATCAAGTGCAGTTAATCTAGCACTTATAAATAAACACAGACTATAGGCTGCAGGTGTCAATGAATTACTGACAATGCAAACTATTAAGAGGTTTTTTCTTGTTGTTGTTAACCATAACTTCTGTTTATCTTTTCAAGAATAAAATGAAAGAAACTAAGCAGTGAAAACATTTAGATCATATGCTCTCCTAGTTGAGTTTATTCTAGTGTTATCTTATTTTTAATTACCAAAAGAATATATTTAATGCATTGCATAAACTGAGCAAGCACACAGAGATTTATGTCTGAATTTCAGGGTCTTCTGATTAAATATTTGTATTTGAGATAGCTATAAAGCAATTAGACAATCACAATCACACAATAAGTAAAATTTTTTTATATTTAGGGGGATCATTATGGTTACTTAATGATCAAATCTGACCTGGAAAAGTGGTGTTTGACCACTTAAGCCTTTTTTTTTAAAGCTTAAGAGAACTTTTTTTTTTTTTTTGAGAGGTTTTTGCTATAGGGCATGTGCACTCACCAGACAGACAGAGAGACAGAGAGATAGAAAGTGAGAAATCACCCCCGGGGGCGATGGCCATGCCGCAATCCCTTCTCCTTGTTCTATTGGGATCTTGGGCACACACACACATGAGCCCGGAGTGAGTTTTTAAGCCACTGTGTCTGGGACACGAACCATGGTCGACTACATGGGAGTCCAGCGACATAGCCATTACGCTAAATGCTGATCCCATGAGAACTTTTTAAGGAAATATGATATTGTTAAAAATAACTGACCAAGTACTCTTTTGCTTCATCAGAGAAACGGACAGATAAGTCAGCTGTATCTGGAGCCATTCGACTGAAAATCAATGTGGAAATCAAAGGAGAGGAGAAGGTTGCTCCATATCACATACAATACACCTGTTTACATGAGGTAAATTAATTTTATTAATAATAAGACCCAGAAAAGAAAATGATCCTGATTATGGATAATAAAGCAAAATACTGGCTTTAAAAATTATCAAATATGGTTTGTGGAATTGTTTCAAGAGTTCTGTCTTACAGGACGTGATGTGTTAGGATGGTAGGAACCCATGTATTATCACTGAAGAGCTTGTCCTCAAAGTGAGTTTAAAACAAGCCCATGGTGCAGGGATTAATAGGCAATAAGATGATAACATATAAGGAGAAGAAATTAAGTGACCATTCCTCCAAAGAGAAAGAATGTTACATATATTCATTGAAGAAATGTATTATAACAAATGTCTTAGAAGCATTCAAGATTAGTACTATGGTATTGCAGGACAGGATCTAAATCATAATCGCTTTTACCAACTGCATTAGGGTTCAGATTTTATTGAAAATTTCATTAACATTATTCACAACTAGAAATAGAAAAATTCAGATATTGTATCAATGGCTTTTAGGAGTGAATGAGATGAGCAGTCATTTTTTTCTTACTTTTTCTGAGTACAAAAAAGGGCTTCCTTCATATTGAAACCCTTCATTTTCACTACTCTTTCTATAAGAATATTTGGGTATGGATCAGAGGATCAGAATGTGGTTACTCACCCAGGAATAGAAGGGGCTACAGGCACCCTAAAAGTAGGTTCTGGTTGGCTGAGAGGGAAATAATCACTTAGTATGAAGCCAAAGGGCAAATCCACTAGTTTCCTTTCGTGCCTCAGTGTAGACACACAGAAAAATAATCCTAGACTTTCGTTGGATGCTTTGCATCAGAGAGGTTAGTTAGCAGTGTCACAGGAGACTTTTTCTGGTGCAAATGATATTTACCTCATATGTCAAAAATACAGGGTGAAGCTAAAGAATATACGTTTCTCCCTTCTTAGAGAAAGTACCTTTCAAAACAGAAGACAGCTTTACTATTTTGCATATGATTTCTCCTAAACCTATCTCTGGAGATTTATGCATGTAAATATTTGTATGTATATTATTAAAGAAGAAATGAGCCACTTAAGTACTTAACTCATTTGCATGCGACATAGTAATTAGGTGTATGTCCTAGGCTTAATTTTGTGACGGACAGTCTGGCTGGTAATATCGTTCTTTCAAGAATGGTGGCTCAGATTTGAGAACAATGAAAGAAATCACTTGAGCTGGAATGATGGGCAACTGGCCTGAAAGTGTGGGCAGAGAATATTTGGAATCAGACAGAGGAGCAGCAATCTGCTTCACCTTTCAGAATCTTTTCTGGTGGTTCAAGAACCAGAAAGAACTGAAATCTAAGAACAATCCTTTAATTTGATCCTTCAGGCTACAACCATACGGCAGTTCCTAAACTTATTAGAAGCAAAAAGAAATTGAAGGTAGTGATTCTTTTTTATCATAAAATTCTCAAAAAATGATCATTTTTTACCTCAATTCACTTCCCTGACACTTATCATTTTGTAGCCCAAACCCTTTAGTATCATTCAGTAGTAACATAGCCAAAATCTCGTCATTCATCCAGGATACTATAATTGAGAGTCCACCAACATGAATTATGTTCTATTATGTAGAAATGTTGACATGCAAAAACATTTACTCCCTTCTCAAAAAGTTTGGTATATACAAAACATTTGAGTCATTGATTCTGTTTAAACTCAGACAAAAGTGGAAGCAGATTTTGCGTAAAAGAGGTAGTGACTTAGATTCAGAACAAAGAGCTTCCTATTGCTTGTAGATGCTAATGAAACATTGGACGTGATGACAGTGAAAGTGTATTTTATTGAAAATTATAGTTAAATAGTTCTGGACTCTTCTGAGGAATCACTGAACAATTGAAAACCACTTCTTTTAGAATCTGTTCCATTACTTGACTGAAGTGAAATCTAATGGTGCAGTGAAAATCCCAGAGGTTAAAGGGGATGAAGCCTGGAAGGTTTTCTTTGATGATGCTTCCCAAGAAATAGTTGATGAATTTGCCATGCGTTATGGGATTGAATCCATTTATCAAGCTATGACGTAAGTACTATAGAACATTTGCATGGTCAGATATTTCTGTTGAAATAATAATAAAAAAGAGCATTCATCATCTTCTAATTCAAATAGAACTTGTATAAAAAAATGATTACATTTCATTATGCATTTCCCATGTGGACTATCTTCTCTCCTACAACTGCAAGGTATTAAGGACTAGATCATTTACTATTGCCATATGGCTGCCTTTGTTCTATTCTCAGTGTTTCCTTCACTTTGGGGAATTTACATATACAAATTATCCAGCCTATCCCAGACCTACTGGATTGGAAATTCTTATAGTAGAGCCTAGCCTTCCAGTCTTATATTCTACCTTGTGAGCCAATACCTTATTTGGTATCTGAGGAAATGAAAGTCCTAGTTTTCTGAAAGTTACAAAACCTGTTAGTATCAGAAACATTCCTGGTACCATTACTGTGTCTTGTACCAAATATTAGACCCTGTATTCTTCCTTCCCATATTTTATCAGTGCTTCTAATTCAGTAAGACAAAGATTTCTTAGCACTCAGAGAACCAAAATGCTATAATAAAAGTGGTCCTACAGAATTGATTTATACAGAATTGACACATAAGCCTTACTGAAGAATTTCAGCATGGATTTAGATCTGGGTCATTACTTCCTCATTGCTTGCTTTCTGAGACCTGGCCCAAGTTGATAAGTATATTGGTTCAGATACCTACCATGTATATATAATATATGAAATATTTATATGTATGTATTAAGTAGTTTTTATTTCATATTAATAATAAGATCATATTTTAATGTAAACTAAATAATTGCTGGTTCAGATCATCAATTTCATCTTAGTGATGAATATGGATTAGGCCAAAATCAGTGTTCCTCTTTGAAGTTTGCTGTCCATAGCATTTGATCACTAGTCATAATTCTAGAACAGTATAATGTAAGAAAGA